TGTGTGTGAATGAGATGTAATCTCTGTAACCAGCCTCAATCAAGAGGTGTGTGTGTGTCTGTGTGTCTGTGTTGTGTGTCTGTCTGTGTGTGTGTGTGAATGAGATGTAATCTCTGTAACCAGCCTCAATCAAGAGGTGTGTGTGTGTCTGTGTGTCTGTGTTGTGTGTCTGTCTGTGTGTGTGTGTGAATGAGATGTAATCTCTGTAACCAGCCTCAATCAAGAGGTGTGTGTGTGTCTGTGTGTCTGTGTTGTGTGTCTGTCTGTGTGTGTGTGTGAATGAGATGTAATCTCTGTAACCAGCCTCAATCAAGAGGTGTGTGTGTGTCTGTGTGTCTGTGTTGTGTGTCTGTCTGTGTGTGTGTGTGAATGAGATGTAATCTCTGTAACCAGCCTCAATCAAGAGGTGTGTGTGTGTCTGTGTGTCTGTGTTGTGTGTCTGTCTGTGTGTGTGTGTGAATGAGATGTAATCTCTGTAACCAGCCTCAATCAGCAATCTGGTTCCTGCATTTTGGACTCACTGAAGTTTCCTTATATGTTACAGAATGAAGCTTTTCTAGCTACATAATTTGGTTTCCTCTAGAAGCAGCTTTCTGAAGTTGGGGTCCTCAGATGGTGTTGGACTATAATTTCCATTATTCCCAGGAAGCATTTTCAATAGTTGTGGATAATGGGGTGTTGAGTCCAATGGCATCTGAAGTCTCAGGGCTGGAAAAGCCTACATTAAATGGAGGCTGAGAACCACGCTGTCAGGTTTGGAACTTGGAAATAATGTGCTAAAATAATGTATTACCATACATTCATCAGACATTTCCAAACAAGGCTTATTAAAGACATTATTTAAATAAAGAATGGGCAACATGTGTCGCTCCAGATGTTGTTGGACTCCAACTCCCAACATTGCTCATTATGCTGGCTAAGACTAAGGGAGGCCCACCCGTTGTCCACCTGCTGGTAAATGACAATATCATCAATGGGTTGAGCAGCATGTAACATTTTGTGTTATTTTAATGTCTAGCTTTTGGAGAGTAGTTACAGATGGTGGTGACCATTTTTCAGTACTCACGTTTTCAAAATATTTACAGTGCAAATGGTACTAATGCATCATTAGTGATTACCGGCGCTGTTAACTAATGAAACCATTCCCAAATTAATGTTAATAGTAGTGAATTAATGTTAACGGTGTTTCCAGAATCACTTCCATGGGCCCCTTTATAGTACCCACTCGCTATCTTGGACAGGAGGTGGAGGAATGTAGGTTGGGAAATGGTTTGTTTGTGTTTTTGTTTCTTACCTGAGGCAGAAAATCAGCTTTTCTTTGGACACACTCTCTATATGGCTGTAGAGTTCTGGGTCCACGTGTCTCAAAACCTCCTCACAGATTTCTGTGTGGATTCAGGGAGAGAGAATGAGGGCGCCTTGTATCACATGCACACACCCAACACCCCGTCTGTTGTCACCTCCCCTCAACCAAAGTCTCTCACCAATCAGAAGAAAAACGGGGAAGTGATACCAAAGATCCTTTAACCCTAATTGGCCAAGAGAAGAAACATGGCTATCATGAAGTAGGGTGCATTTGCATTCTCTCTCTCTCTCTCTCTCTCTCTCTCTCTCTCTCACACACACACACACAAACACACACACACACACACACAAATTTGCACATAGCTAATAGTTTACTGAAATGTCCAGACATGTGTAAATACATTAAGACATTCAGATTAGTAGGTGGATCTCCTAGTCATCCTCACAACTATCCCAGGTGGAATTGTTTTAGGAACTACTGTATATCCCCGAGAATCCCCCACTGCCATGTCAGGTAGGGAATTCTGGGACCAGTTGTCAACAGACGAACGTTCCAAGCTCAGAATTGATGACACACATTAGGATTTGTCACCATGGCACAACAAAGGATGCTTGTACAGTATGCAGACACAGAAGAAATTTTTATTTTATTTATTTATTATTAGACTTTTACCCCGCTCCCCTAAACAAAGTCTACTCAGGGCAGCAAATATTTGGCTCATTGGCGTTATTCATACAAGTGGCATTGTGCAGGTTGCCTTGGCACATAATATTCTTCTTTTCTAAGACTCTACATAGCCCTTGCCTATGGATACCTTCTCCTCCCCCCCAGACAAAGTCTATTCGGGGCGGCAAATATTTGGCTCATTGGCATTGTTCATACAAGTTGCAGTGTGCAGCTTGCCTTGGCACAGAATATTCTTCTTTTCTAAGATTCTACATAGCCCTTGCCTATGGATACCTTCCTGCCTTCCAAGGCCTTATGTACAATGCAGCAGACAGAAACTGGGAGACAGTTTGGTTACACCTGCTAGCATAAGATCCAGCTTTCTTCTGATCTGTTCCCTGGTTGCTTAGTAACTGTTCACTCCCATCTCCTTCTCTTTCCCTGCTGAGGAGAGAAAGGGAGAGCAAGAGCTATCGTATTTCAAGAGAAGTCAGGGCAAGTTTTTCACCTGCACTGAGTGTGCAGCTGCTGTCTGATTTTGTAATTTGCAATTCAGATCTACTTTCTAGCAAACTAAATGTTGGGTCACCCACTAGATCTGTTTCTTCCCCTGTGCCTCTGCTAGGCTGCCTATTTTTAGTTTTGTTTAAGTGCCACACTCATGTTTACACATTTATGTACAGTACTCAGCTTTTAAAGATTCCCAGCATGGTGCAGTAGATGGAGTGATGGACCAAGATTCTGGAGCACAGGGATTGAATCCCCATTTGGCCATGGAAACTCACTGAGGGTGTTTGTGGAACTGGTAAAACCACTCCTTAAATATCTCGCTTACCTTGAAAACCCATATTAAGGTTGTTATAAGTCAATTCCAACTTGACAGCACAGAGAATACACACAAGTCTTTAAAGCATTTAGAGAACTGCTCCGAAGATTGGCAGAGGTGTCTTGGTTAACAATCTCAGGCACTAGGCAATTAATGCAATTTGCATTCACTGTAGACTTACAAATTGTTCCTTTAAATACCCAACCTTAAACTTGGATGGGATAAGGAACATTTGGATCAAAGAAAACGTGGATGCTTTCCAATTAGTGGGACATCTCTAGACATGTTCCATTTGTCTCTCCCCTCCTTTTCTTTCCCCTCCCCTCACGTGTTTTGCGGCGCACGCCCATCGTAGTGAAGCTCCACGCTGAGCGCCGCATGTATCCCACGAAGCACCAGAAGGCCTCCGTCTCATTGTCCAGGGTCTCCAAAAAGCGGCTGGCAAAGTCATTCATGCCGTGGCAGTATCCAATGTCTGCCAAAAAGAAGGATGTGGGGAAGGGGGAGAGAATTAAAAACCAACCAGAAGCAGGAAAGAAAATGTGGCAGAATCACCAACCCAAATTTCAGCTGCTCAAGAGGAAAACACACCCAGCAACAAAGTGAAGACTGGGTGATGTACGTCGGAAGGCAAAGGCAGAAGCAGCCGATAGACTGAGATAAGGGGTTGTCTCACCTGCAAAATTTGTCGGAAGGGGGGAGGTATCCCCCTGCTTGCTCACAAATTACTGTTGCTTACGAGGCAAGCCTTTGCATATTAATTTTGAAATCAATTTCCGCTTTTGTTCTCTTGCCTTCTCCTCCTCATTGTTCCTTTTCAAACGACAGTATTGCCTTTCCAGTTCTTTTAGGGGGAAGGAAAGCAGGTATGCCAACGCCAGGCTGCCGTTCTAAGCCTTGCCAGCTTGTTGGTTGGCACGATGGTCAAACATGCTTTGTGGGTAAATATTTCTCTGCTCTTTGTGGAGGGGAGAGGGTGGGAAGAAGACAGCTTTGATCTCAGGGAAATGGGCTCTTGGGCTATCTCTGAAAATGTGCAAAAGCAATGGAGGGTGGGTGTGGCTTTAGAGCAAGGACATCACTAAGTGTAGAGGTATGCAAAGATGCGAAGATACACTGAAGTCAGATGGATTATCCCGACTCGTCAAAAGGTGCTGCTCCTTAATCTAAGAACAGGACCAGCCCTCCCAATAGGTGGGATTCATCAGGAAGAAGTACAGTACTGGAAAATTAGAGCCCCATGGAAAACAGAGATATAAGTAAGCATGAATCTCACTCACACGGGTGATTATTAGTGATACAGAAGTCGTAACTACCAGGACTGACTTTCACAGTTTAGAAGGCTATCTGAAGTCCTCCTATGGCACTTTGTTGTCCAGGCCAAAGAGCAAGATAGTCCATACCTGTACGTGTGGTGTATACGCACACAGAGCTGTGTGAAGAAGCCAGCCAGAACTAATGATGAAGGAACACATCCTTCACTGTATTTTAGGGCAGGTGAAGGCCTCGTGTGTCACACAACTCTTTGTACTTCACACTAACTGCCTCCTGAAACTGTTGCTTAATAGGAGGGCCAGCCAGAACTGGGAACTGCTGGTGATAGGATTTTGCACGGTTCTCATTGTGCCAAAATGTGCTTGCCCTGATCACATCCTTGACTGGCACAACATTCACTTCTCACTGGGATGTTCACTAGTGGCTTCTGGAAGCCAGTCCTGTTTCGTCCTGAAACCTCCTTGAGGAAAGCCCTACACACCCTCTGAAAAACTGTTTGGGTTGCAAAGGACTTGGCCAATTCAAAACACGATATGTATAATTGATGAATGGTCAAACGGTAAAGTGTCAGGAAAAACACGATACAGTGGGGTCTTGACTTGAGAACTTAATCTGTATTGGAAGGCGGTTCTCAAGTCAAAAAGTTCTCAGGTCAAATCTGCATTTCCTATAGGAATGCATTGAAAACCATTTGATCCGTATCTGCTGTTTTCCGTCCATAGAAACTAATGGGGAGCTGCTATTCCGCCTTCGACCACTAGAGGGGGATATTTTGTTTCTTTTTTTCTTAGGTCAAGAAAGGTTCAGGGAAGGCAGGGAAAATACAGTCCAGGCAGTCCAGTACCAGGCAGTCCGAAGACTGTCTCCCAATCCACTCTCTAAATGCTGGGAGGAGTGAGGAAGCAGACAGACACCCTTTTCATTGGCCAACAGTTAACTGAAAGTTCACATTTTGCACTTTCCCTGCCTCCCACGTGGTTTTTTTCAGTTCTTAACTCAAATCTAAGTATATACGTCAAGTCAATATTTTCCTATGAGAGTGGTTCTTAAGTCAAAATGTTCTTAACTCAAGCCGTTCTTAAGTCAAGACCCCACTGTATGTACAAGTGATGAATGGTCAAACGGTAAAGTGTCAGGAATGGAGCTGAACGGAGCAGAGAAACCAGCAGACGCTGGACTGATGCCATCAGTCAAGATTCCTGGAAGCGGGTACCATCCAGCGGTTTCCTCACCTTGGTGGAAGGCCACATACGTGACAAGAATGTCTCGGAGGTAAAGCAGCTTCACGAGCCCTTCACGCCTGTAAAAGAAGAAAAGCCACAGGAAATATTGCAGTGGCAATGGGTACACCTGGGTCTGGATTTAAAATGTGAGGTGCCTGGAGTTGGAGCTAATGGGAGCCATCTCTGCAACTGGAGGCCTTGTTCCTTAATGCTTTGCAGACTGGATTACTCAGTGAATAAGGCACTTGGGATGTTCTGAGAGGAACCCTTTTCTCTGTTATCTTTTGCATGTACTACAATAGAACTATAGGATTTACAACTGATTCATAGATCCATGCTGCAGACTTCAGACTGGTGTTGTGGCTATTCCCAGTTGTGTGCGCGTAGGGGTGGTGGTGGTGATGAGTTATGGCTACTAAGCAAAACTGTGTGCTATAGTGGGATATAAAATGGTGTATAAATGACAGGTGTCTCTGATCACTGCCTCAGTTAAAACTCTGGAGTGTCAGATAAAGCATCTGGGTGGGTGCGTAAGAGTTATAAGAATACCACAGCAAAAAGTATTGGCCAAAATCCTGTCATGGCTTTTGTAAGTAAACTTATGGATCTTTCTTCTACACTGTCTCTGAATTGATCACCTGAAGCAATAAACATATCACTCTTCTTTTGCCTAACTATGAGTTTCTGGAGGAGTTAACCCTGCTCACTACTCATAGTTCAGCACCAGCCTTCCACATTCTGCTAGCATAGAGGTCAAATATTCTCACACTTCCGAGAGAAGCTTGCTTGACGTCTGCATTGTTGTCTTTTTGATATCAGACAAGATTTCTTTATTCTCCCAGACATTTAACATATTCCAGATGTATTACTTGAATATATGGGGAAATAGCTTTGTCTCATAATGCTTTAAACTATCTTTGTATTCTGTATATGTATGCATTCTTGTTATGGATGTATTATTGTTATGTACACACTTCCTCTGTGTGTGTGTGTGCATGTGTGTGTGTGTGCATGTTGTGCATGTGTATGTGTAGCTTTTATACTGAGCTGGATTTTTGTGATTTATTGTGATTTCTATTATTTTATTATGATGTGTTTTAACTGTTGTACCATGCCCAGAAAACTAGTTTTATGAGGCATTTAATAAATATAATAAATCTTCCATATTCTTTTTAAAATATGCTTTAAAGCAGAGGGCAAGGGCTCCCGTTTGACTACAGCAGCAACTCTGTTAAGGGCTTGTCCAACCCTTTCTTCTCCGTTGCTCTGAGCAGGGAAGCTCATTTTTAGAAAGAAGAGTCCTCTGCTGAAAAGTGTCTTCAGTGTGAGTGGTTGTCCAAGTGCCATTTAAAGAGACTTTAAGAAATATCTGGATGGCAGACTCAGCCGTTACACCTGCCTCTGCCTCCTTCTCTCCTATTAGAATGTCCAAAGTACGGTATTTGCATTTCTATTTCAATTACAGCAATTCCTTCTAAATTTGCATCCATTCATATCAAATGGTATTCACAAAAGCTATGCAAATCCATACCCTACTTTCCCTTCCTTTTTTGATAATTCCTTTGCAGGGCCCTCCTTATTTAGAACAGACTATGGCTGCTTTCAAGAGAGACTATGGATTTTCCATGACACAGCTGTCTTCGCCCTAAACTTTCCATTTTGAGTGACCTTTTCTTCAAGACTGCAGGTTGGAAGTAAAGACAGGCATGAATTTCAACAGATGAATACTCTGGGCTTGGTAAGAAGATTTGGCTTGTTGGCTGTTAAAATTTGAAACATGGCCAAGAAATGATATTTTGTGTCCTTTTCCTTGAAGAAGAGATGGAAGAGATGCTCATGTTTTGGTAGGATCATGCTATACATCTTAATCTTTCAGATCAGGCATGGTTAAAGTTAGGAAAACTTCTTTTTGGGGGGGTTGGGGTTGGGCTGGAGAATGTGAATTTCAGAATCCTGCAGCCAGCATGGCCTGAGACTGTGGTGGAAGCAATAGCTGCTTGGAGGGTTCTGAGATTTCAAAAAGAGAAAGGCTTCCAAAGGTCTGCTCTGGACCCAACAAGCCAAGCACAGTCCATTAGGTAGAGAGCACAACTCATACTGATTTTTTTTTTCCTGCCCACCTAGAATGGAAGAAACAGCAGGAAGCCAGGTAAGGAGTGGCTGGTTGTTGTCATCTGGGTTAAGGGCCGAAAGTGGGGGCAGGCCTGGGGATTCCCCATTTGAATTGTCAGACTCTAGTTTTGCAAAAATTTTGTGGGACGGCCAGCATTTTTGTTTGGGATTCGTGGTGGTTAAGGAAGGGGCAGATTCTCACTGGAAGAAGGTCCGGTGCCGGTCTGTTCGGGGTATGTCAGCATCGATGTCTTTCAGGGCCCTTTGGAACTGCCTCTCGTTGATGAACTGGGCAGGAAGGCGCTGCTGGTGAAAGACAGAACTGTGTCAACTCAGGGCTGAGCAGGTAACACTTTTTAGCTTCAGGGTCATATGCCCTCGTGCTGGGTGTCCATAAGTAAGCTTCCTAGCTGTAGGGAGGGCCACAGCAGAACATGGCAGAACATAATCACTCACCCCTGCCAACTCCTTAATAAACACTCACACCTTAATCCGCCTTCACACACTGCATTCACATCTGTACAAACACATTCATACCCATAACACTCTGCCCTATCATTAGGCAGAGTGACATGGCTGCTTTAGGCCGCGGATTTTGCAAGTTATTAAAAGGCAGAAATGGAGACTTTATTAGCATATTACTCTCAGTGAGGAAAAGATGGGGGTGTGAGATTTTCTACCTCAAACCAATAACTTGCTTCTTAATACTCAGGATGAGGTGTGTGTGTATGTGTGTGTGTAAAGGAATATCCTCAAGCAACATAACGGTTTGGGTCAACCATGTATAGAACAGCCACTAGCAGCATCAGTGCTTCTGAAACTATACAAGCTGACCACAAAGGAAGAGGCTTTCTTCTAGTTTCTTTCCCTCACAAAGCTTAACAAAGATATGCAAAGACACTAAACTGTGACAGGTTTAAGAGGATATGCAGTACTCTCCAGAATTCAGAAATTTGTTGATACTTAGAGGGCCCTCATAATCTGGGCCCTAAATAATACTGTAGTTAGCTTTGTTTATACGTAAATACAGAGGTTCTTTTTTGGTGAACCTAGCCTTCCTTAACATTTTACAATTACAGTGGTGCCCCGCATAGCAACGTTAATCTGTTCCCGATTAATTGTCGCTATATGAAAACATCGCTAAACGGAACGGAAAAACCCATAGGAATGTATTAAACTTCGTTTAATGCGTTCCTACAGGGCCCAAACTCACCGTTCAGCGAAGATCCTCCATAGTGCCGCCATTTTCGCGCCCTCGGTAAGTGAGGAAACCACGCGGAAATGGTTGCGGCGGCCATTTTGGGCACCCGGCGGCCATTTTGGAACCGCCAATCAGCTGTTTAAAAAACATCGCAATGCGAAGATCGGTAAGCGAAACGTTTCCTGATCATCGCAATGCGATGTTTTGCCCATTAAAACATTGCAATGCAATTGCATTAGCGATCTAAAAAAATAGATCGCTATGTGGATTTGTCGTTAAACGGTGTGCTCGTTATGTGAGGCACCACTGTAAGGGACAAAGCTTAACAATTAATCTGAAGATCCACAACTAGGATTTCTTGCAATTTCCTTAGAACATGAAACTAGCTATTTGGAGTGAAGGTTGGACTGGTTTATAGGTACAGTGTTGTGGGAAGGTTCAATCCTAGTGCCATTTTCCTCATCTAGATTGCTCCTCCTATCTAGGTACTCCAGTATTCTTCATTACTTACACCACAATTTCAAGAATCCAGTGTGTGTGTTTACTGTACATCTCACCTCATTGTGGATCTCTGTAGGTGGCTTGGCTGCTTCAGCTTCCTTCTGTTCTTCATCATACCTCTGGATGGCCAAGGAAAGCTCTACTATGGGGCAAAAATGAGGAATGAGCACCGTATCATCTGCTACTTATGGACCCTTTAAAAGGCAAAACTCTATAGATCCACCTATTGGGAGGGTTCTAGAAGAATATAAAGGCAGCACTTACAATCAGAATGAACCGTCAGGCAGGCAGCCCAAGGGAAGCGCTGCTTCCATGAGTGTTTCATCCACTTATACTGAGAAGCCATTTGCCGGTCCAGCTCCTTCCTTTCTTCAGTTGTTGACCTCTCAGGGTACACGCCAAAGAGAAATTTCCAGGTGATCTTTCTTTCACTGGGATGTGTGCCTTAAGACAATGAATGTATGATCATCCTGTTGGGATTTTTGCAACTTTGTATGCTGCCTTTAGTAGTTTTGGCTGGGAGGGACCTTTCTGAGCTGGGGTGACTGTCATTCTGTCCGGCGCAAACCAATCATTCCTTTCCTGCCTCTGAATTCAAAGGGAGTCCCCCCCTCACTATTCTGTTCTTTCCCTCCCTCTCAGGATTCTGTTGAGGTCTGTTGCTGAAAGCAGACATGTTTGTCACTTTGCTGTTTGATTTGTTCACAACTGTAACTTTTGTAAACTGCTCAGAGTGGCCTTGGTAGCCAGATGGGCAGTATAAAAATCAAATAACCAAATAAAATAATTTTTTTTAACTATAAGTAAATAAAATGGTTATTATTCTGTTTCTTACTAATGTCTCAGAGTGAGTTATTGAGACCGTAAGTGCCCATTTACTAAGAAAAGGGGTGGACTAATCTGGGGAACTTTGGAGTTATCCTCCCCTGTGAATCCCTGCACTTCTGCCGTGCAGCTATAGAACTTTAACCAAAATATAACCAAATTCAGAACTCTGAAACACATCCCTCTGCCACCATTCAGTAAACTGAACAAAGTCTGCCTCCTCCTCCTCCTGTAATTCTGGTGGAACTGAAGTCAAAAATACAGATCAACAATTTACTTCTAGCAAATATGTATCTGGGCGTCCTGTCAAGGGCCTGAAGCAGCTCTGGAGGGGCAGAGTGGAAGGCGACTAGCGGGAAAAGAGTTTAGCTACCCTACTTCTTTTTCTTAGAATAACCTTGCCTCGAAGGTGATTAACCACAAGAAGCCATTGGGACTTTGACATAGGAGGCAATAATGAAATGCTCCAGATGTTGACTGGCATCAATTCTGATATTCTGGTCAAAATCCTATTTTGTTTTTACATTAATCTTGGCAGTGAATTGTCTGCAAGTTACAAAGTCAGCTTAGGCACTTGCTGTGGTGTGCCAGGTCACACGACTTGATGGGCAATACCAAATGCCTACACTGACTTCGTAATCTGCAGGCAATACATTGCCAAAATTTACTGTCATTACACAACACTGACAAGTGTAATTGACAGGATTTTGACATCTGTGTTTTTCCCCCCTCACTTACATGAAATCACAAAATTTATATACACCTGACGAAATAGTGCTGCAGCCTATGAGCAGCAGTATGTAATACAGTCTGGAAATGTTCTTTCTCTTCTTTTCCCTCTCTCTGTCTCCCTCTCCCCACCCCCTTTTGATATTCTCACAGCTGCTGAAGCTTTCATTGAAATTAGGCACCAAGATAGCTCAGTGATTTAGACAGAGATTAAGGGTCTGATTTCCCACTGTGCTTCCCTAAGAGGGGCTGGACTCGATGATCCATAGAGTCCCTTCCAGCAGTTCTAAGATGATTCGGATGATGATTAAGTGCAGTGGGCATGTTTTTGCAGCAAAATACCAAACTGTCCTCTTGCATCATACAGAACAGTGTGCCTCCCTATAGGGCTGACCACAGACTCCCCCACTTCCTAGAAATCAGTTTGGAGACTAACCCAGCATTTTGGGATAGATCTGAATTTGGTTTGTGGAGACAGGGGTCCTGCCTGATTTGATCTTTGTGTCCTGGATCTGATTCATGATTTGTAAGTTTGGATTGCCAGCCATCCCAAGGGCTTGTGTTGGAAAACAAAAATGGCTATAACTTTTTCCATTTTGCACTGATGTGTATGAAATCTCGAGCCATGATCGAACCTAAAGAAGGGATTAGAGGTGCTAAATTTCAGACAGCGGACTTCGTGGGTTCACATAGTAGGCACCTTTAACATGTACTCCCTGCAAGCCCTATGATGGAAGTGACCTTGTAGCCTCAGAGCGCATTTTATGGCCATCAGTGAGCCCAAGCTGTCTGGTCTCCTTCCCTCCCAATGACATAATCCCTCTCTACGGTCTGGTTTCCCCCTTTCATTTTAAATGGTCAAGTCAACTGAATCAGTCCAAACAACTTTCACTTTGCCCCGGAACCAAAGCTATCCATTTTGCTTTGATCTGGACATGCCTGGATCCATCGAGAAGGGGAAAAGGGAAGGGGAAAAAGGACTCATTTTTGTGGTGTCACCAAATTTCAACAGTATGCTTGTTTTCAGCGACAGACATGTTCAAGAAATTATTTTGGTGGCTCCACGGTATCAAATAGGGTAGCAACAGGAGCTGCAAAAATGTCTGAGAGTGGGTGGGGAGAATGGAAGCTTTGCGTTTCCTGTCTCACTCCTTTCCCACTACACAGAGAAGCAGCCTGTTTTGCAGCCCATACAGTCTGCAAAATGAGCTGTGCAGTTTCTAGTGAAGCAGACCAGACAGACAGCTTAATACACACAGGAAGCTCTGGGTTGTTATAGGGAGACAGAACACTGGTGATGAACCAGACCAACCTCTCTGAAAACTCTGTTCAGCACGGGAGAATGGGACCTTGTCTTTCCCACAGCCTGGGCAAGCTACCTGCATAAAATTGTGGAAATCAGCCCCGCTAACAAAGGGCTGCTCAGTTTGCTTCCTCCCTCCTCATGGAAAGCAGCAGTATCTACATGGTTTGCTAGTACCTCTCTCATAGACGAGCTTGCGCATGCGAAAGACATCCATCCGTCCATCACTGTCAAATAAGCTGTAGATGGACTGAGAGGGCAGGGGGGTGTCCTTTTCCCTCTCTCTCCCAGAACAAGAACAAGTGGCGTGATTTTCCTCATGCCGAGTGGAATTGTTCCGGCTACCATCTGCTGTTCTTCCTTCATCCGTGTTGTGGTTTGTGGTGAGCTGAGCCTTCGTTCTGTGTCGGCCCCCAAATTGAAATAAGCAAGATGTGACCAATATTTAATTTGGGGGACATCATTCCCACAGACACATTTGGTTCCTTCAAGATGAGGAACCTACTTTCCCATCATCAGTGTTAAGATTTAGCTAGCAGTTGCCTCAGGTTCTCTTTGCAGAGTGACAGAACAGGCCGCCATCTTGTTTTTTGTTTGTTTGTTTGTTGCAGAACAGGCCACCATCTTTTTTGTTTGTTTGTTTTTTGTTTTGCCTTAGGAAGAAAGACATTTTGGACTTGCCCTGTGCATTCCTCCCCTTAGGAAGAAATACATTTTGGACTTGCCCTGTGCATTCCTCCCTTTTCTTCTTTCACTGTAAGGGTGGTAAATCCAACCTCAAATATGAGGTAATCTAGTATGTATTCATACAGGCAGGCAGCAGTACAAGTCAGGGAAGGACATTTTCACCTCGGGCTCCATCCAGAAGTTTGGAGGGAGGGCTCTAGGAGGCTGCAAACCCACTATCCCAGGATTGATTCTACACATGGTTGCCAGGATAGTAGCATCCTGTTCTCTGAGAGGTAAGGAGACAAATCAGGAGGCATGGTGACATTCAAAGGGGAAGTTCTGTCAGGGTCAAGGGTAGCATTGCTAGGGCAAGCCAGTAACCATGGGGGTGGGGTGGGGGGTGAGAGAGAGAGAGAGAGAGAGAGAGAGAGGAAGGGGAGTGATTTTTTGGAAAGGTGGCTTGTTGGAACTGTAAGCCACATTGGGAGACTGAATAAGCAGGGGATGGATCTTCAAATAAAGGAAGAAGCCTTGATGCTCATTGTGGTGTTGACTGTAGTTGAGGGGAGGGCAGTCTTGGCTGGATCTCATGTGGCCCTCAGTGTAATTTCTAAAGCCCTCTGCTGATGATCAGATCAGACTTCTGCAAGTACAACCTGCTCCTCCAAGAGCAGCCTGCTAGGTGGGGAAGAAGAGAAAGGAAGCACCTGAGAGAGGGAAGATAATGATGGGGCACTGGTATTAGAAAGAATGTGAGGCGGAAAAGATAAAAGGGATGCATTTACATGATTCTGGCCTTGCCCACCACTGTTATGCAACCCTTGACTGATGAACCTCAAGAACATGTAATCCTTGGCAGAAAAATACTGTAGTTGCTCACATCAACTGGAGTCTACTGAGCTGAGAAGGAGGCAATGTCAGAGCCCTGGGGTCTCTCTCTCTCTCTCTCTCTCTCACTCTCTCTCTCTCT